ACACACACACACACACACATACATATACATACAGGTAATGCTCAAGAAAATAACAGAGCTTAGTTGGAATGTTTGTTTATAAGATTTTGCTATATTTTCAAGGTGAAATAAATTTCTAACAAGTCAGAGCTGACAATTTCTTGGCAGTCTTAAACACTGTCTCATATGATTGATGGCTTCTACCAATGAAGTGTGGATATAACTGAACTTTAAGAAATTTTAGGTGTCCTCTGTTGTTTCCCCCATGCTATTCAAAATTCCATCATTAATGTTCCTAATATTGTACCGTTTAATTTTACCTGTTTAAGTCACACTGAACCTTTTTAGAGTTTTACTGATCTAGCTAACATCTTGCATTATGAACTAAAAATTGAGTTTGCATACAGCAGGCCCTAAGTTTAATCTTAACACCAAAGAAATTTTTTATAATTCATGAGTGTCAACCTAAAAGTATTCCACTATCTACCATGTTTTTAGCATATTTTGTTCCGTAGTAGTAAGTTAAAATGTATTTGGATCATTTCCCTGTTGCCCTATTTACATTATTATAAACTGAAATTGAATTTAGAAGTCTACCCCTGTAAGCCAGTGTGATATAATGCTTTATTTGGGTGGCCTTTGTTCTTGGAAATCTGCTTTTTTGTGTAAATTTAGAATCAGCATTCCCTAAATAACAGTGTTCAGAAAATTCTGTTAGGGAAGATGTCCTGAGTGTGTCTTTTTCTTTACCAGGAAAATTATGCATAGAAGTTACACCCCAGAGCAAAATAGCATGGATTTCTGAAACTCTTTGTATTGGCTGTGGTATTTGTATTAAGGTAAGTAATAATATTATATTATGGAACCAGATTTATAACCCAAACATGAAATCTGAAAATTCTGAGTAGTTTTAAAGAACATGTCTGGCATATGGTAGAATTTTGACTTTTACTCAGACTGTCAAAGAAGAGATGCTATTGTAGCATTTTTGGATGTTCCTCTATCATTTCTGATTTTTTTTAAGAATGTTTTTTAAAATATAAATTTAAACTTGGAGCATCGTTTTCATGTGGGATAGATAGAAGTCATGACAGAAGTACATTAATTCTTGGTCAATAATAATATGGAATCTGTTGGTAGGATGGAAGCAGCACACGTGCGTGCACATGCACACACACATGCATATACGTATATACACACCTAAAGAAATGATGTAATCCCTGATCTTACAGGACTTTATCTAAAGCAGAAAGGGAAGTGTACAAGGGCAGGAATAACTGAAGGAAGTAGTGGGAAAGCATCTGTTACAGAAAGAATATTGAAAGTACTACAAACTCATTATCTGTCTTTAGATTATATCACAAAGGAATGTTCTATTCAGTACAATATTAGCCTTCAAGAAGCTGTTTTTAAATAAATACACCAAAATGAAATGATATTTCATGTCTTTCTGCTACTCGCATTTGGAAGATTTCTTACAAAAGTATTCTTAACCCATTTTAGCCATATGTATATTTCAACAAATTAATATAAAATCATTACTTTAAATAACAGAAATGCCCCTTTGGCGCCTTATCAATTGTCAATTTACCAAGCAACTTGGAAAAAGAAACAACACATCGATACTGTGCCAATGCCTTCAAACTTCACAGGTATATTTTCAAATCAATATTCCTCTCTACTTTAGCCAACTTAAAGGGTAAGTACACTGAGAATTTTCATGCAGAAATGGGGGGGGGAATGTTACACTAGCCCACCAAGAAGAAATAATATAACATGATGCAGAATCATATTGCAAGGGCTGGGGATATAGCACAGTGGCTTAAGTACCAACCTGGCAAGCACAAGGTCCTGAGTTTGGTCCCCAGTACAAAATAAAAAAAATTATGCCAAGAATCATATTGCAAATGTTAGTGGTTTATCCTGGTTAATATTAGAGTTAGAATTCAGTCCTAGAAGGCTGTAGCTGCTGTTGCCTAGGTTTTAGCTCACGTGAGTTACTTCAGGGACTGAACCACAAAAATCCCCCAGTGATTCTAATACATAACTGGAATTGGGAATCATTGTTGCCCATAGGACCCTTATCCCCAAAATAACTTTTGAGGGAACTTGCCTTTGATTTTGTTTATCCATTAGTCTTACCTACAAAGAATATTACTCTGAACTTGGGCATATTAAATCACAAGGTCCTTACTTCCTTGAGGTTTTTGTTTGCTGAACATTAACATTTTTAATATGGGACTTTAGGTTTTACTAATAAAAAGGTATTTCTCAACCTGCCAGCTTTAAGGGGCCATCTGCAGCAGGGAGAATGAAGTGGAATATTTCTGGTTGATGTGGCACTTCTCTCCTTGTAAGTAAGTGGCAGGCCAAGAGAAAAAGAAATGGTGGTATGAGGTTGCACCTGCTATGTAATTTTGTACCAAAACATTTTGTTACACATTAAAACAGCCTTATATATGGGGGAAAAAAGTTACTTTAGAATGGACTTGGAATTGAATAAGTAAAATTTGAAGTAATTGTCCAAGGGCGCATTTCTAACAATTAACAGTTTAAGATGATGTTGGCTGTGTTTATTTCCCTAATAGGCAATAATGTCTGGCATATATTTCTTAGCTTATTAATGGATGTGTGTGAAGTGCATTAAAATACTGTCCTCATGTTGTGTTGCTCTTTCTATGTAAATCTGAATTATTTATTGTGGGTTTTGTTTTCTTTTTTTACTTTTGTATATTATAACAGGTTGCCTATCCCTCGTCCAGGTGAAGTCTTGGGATTAGTCGGAACTAACGGTATTGGAAAATCAACAGCATTAAAAATTTTAGCAGGGAAGCAAAAGCCAAACCTTGGAAAGTACGACGTATGTGTTACCTCCTAAAAGTTAATATCTTTAGGTGTTTTTATAAGATTTTGAAAAGAAGGCTATGCGTGTGATTATTTCCTGGTCTTATTTTCTAATTGTGATTTTCATGAAAAACTGTGTGTGTGTGTGTGTGTGTGTGTGTGTGTGTGTGTGTGTGTTTGTGTTAGTGCTATTTAACTGAAAATTCTTGAATTCCTTGGACTGTTGTAAATTGGTATGCTTTGAGTTGAAATTGATCCACCTCCATCCTTAAAAGTTAGAAGCCAAAAGTATTGTATTGTATTTGACTCTGTGTCCTACTTTGTATTGGCATTCATCCTTTTTGCAATTGTCTCGTAACTTATACTCAGATAATATGTGTATTTCTAGGATCCCCCTGACTGGCAGGAGATTCTGACTTATTTCCGTGGATCTGAATTACAAAATTACTTTACTAAGATTCTGGAAGATGATCTAAAAGCCATTATCAAACCTCAGTATGTGGACCAGATTCCCAAGGCTGCAAAGGTCAGTTGCTTTTGGGGAGAGTTTATGTATTTTGGGTTTTGGCTGGGTATAAAAGTTATATCAAAGTAAATGCATTGTACTTTGTGACTTTTTTCTTAAAGGCAAATAGTCGTAACTGTTTGTAATATAATTGACAGGGGACAGTCGGGTCTATTTTGGATCGAAAGGATGAAACAAAGACACAGGCAATTGTATGTCAACAGCTTGGTGAGTGCTTATTTTATAGAAATATGTTAATAGACCCTAATCTTAAAGTCATAAAGGTATACATCTTTATGTGTATTCTGAAATAAGTAGGAAAATCTATAGTCATTGTTATATTTATTTTACACAGTTCCCAACTGTGATGTCATTCAAACCCAGATTGATAATACACAGTTTTGCCCAGATGAGGTAAAGTAAAATTTATGACATTGAACACAATTATGCCACTATGTTCTTTGTAGATTTAACCCACCTAAAAGAACGAAATGTTGAAGATCTTTCAGGAGGAGAGTTGCAGAGATTTGCTTGTGCTGTCGTTTGCATACAGAAAGCTGATATGTAGGTTACTTTATAATTTTTATGTATCTTAAACCCTATATTCACATTTTTGTTTGTAATGGTACTAGTAAAGCAGGGGTTTTGAACAGAATGAATAGAACTCGTATGTAAGTCTTTCATCTTGAGGTGAGATGCTAAAGCAGTTGTGCAACCACTACCTACTATTTTTTACCTGTTACTCTTACAGGGGAAACAGACTGTCATTTATTTTGATAAGTAACTTAATGACATTTTTAGACTCCTAAGTTTAAGAATTAAGCTGTCCATGCTAGGTGTGGTGGCACAGGCCTGTAGTCCAAGTACTCAAAGGCTGGGGCAGTAGGATTGCCATGCATTCAAAGCCAGCCTGAACTATGTAGTGCATTCAGAGCTAGCCATAGCAAGATCCTGTTACAAAAAAAAGAGAGAGAGAGAGAGAGAGAGACTTAAGCTCTCCAACTAGACCGGAAAACTTTCTAAGTACGTAAAGTAAAACAAGATTTATTAGACCACTGTAGGTTAGGATAGCATGATGTGAAGGAGAAAACAAAAGTGAGAAAAGCAAATACTCATCCTGCCTTCTACTTTCTCTCTTCTCTCAAAATATTTGTTGCTTCTATCTTTTTCCATGTTTTTATTCTAGCTCTTTTCCTCAAAGTATTCTCTAAATTCTGTGCAGTGCCTTCCAAAGAAAACAGTCACTTCAATACAGCTAGCATTTAGCTAGTTAAGAGAATAGGTCTCTAAACCACTTCAGAGACCTGTATAATCAGGTATTTGTCATAGTGAGGTGTCAATTTGTAAATTAGCTTAATCCAAGAGACACTCGCAAACTTGATATACAGATCTGCTATTTGTATTATTTTCTTCCTTCTATTCCTGAGCAAAATACAGGAAATTTTATCACTATAGGTAGGCTTTCTTTGTTAGTATATGAAATTTTTATTGTTAAATCAGATATTTCAATATTATAGTCTTTGAAATATGTCACATTTATCTTTCAAAAAATTTTCTTTCAGTTTCATGTTTGATGAGCCCTCTAGTTACCTAGACGTGAAGCAGCGTTTAAAGGCTGCTATTACTATTCGGTCTCTGATAAATCCAGATAGGTAAGTACAGATCTGGAATATTCTTCTTGGTTTGTTTGACAAGTTCAGATTACTAAAAATTAAATGTATTTCTATTATATATAAATATATATGTACATGTTTTTCATTGTGATTTAAAGTTCCCACCAGCATTTACTTTATTATTAGATTTTACTGTCTTTGATCCTCATGACAATCTTGTTAACAAACTATAGGTAGTATTCCCACTGAAGAAGTATAAGGCTAAAAAGTCTAGTTGTTTTATGTTGCCCATTTGCTATATGACAAAGCTATAACTAAAATACAGAGGTTTTTTTTCTATCCACCATTTTTTATAATGTCTACCTTTAGTAACTGATTTAATAAATATTCTTTAAATACATGGCCTATTTTGTAAGAACGTAGAAAAAAATATTAAGGAATCAAAAACTGAAAGTGAAAACTATTAGAAGAGAGAGATAAAGATGTCAGGATTCTCCAAAGGATTGCTTTCTTAGCAGAAAGGCAAATTGGAAACAAATTATGTATCAGAACTGGGAAATATAAAGAAAGCACAATAGAAATGGAGTATGGCTCCCTTTAAATTCCCTATTTGTAGAGCAGCAGGTCACATGGTTATAGAATTTATGTATGCAGTTTTTAAAGCCCTTCAAGATGAGAAAGCAACATTAATGGGGGATTTTGAAGTTTTTAGTCCAGTAGTACATATCATCAGTGAACAGCAAAGCACTCAGGAGGGTTATGTACTCAACACTGATTGCACAGGAATTCTATATCCTTAGTTCTGATTACATAGAATTTCTGCAGGTAAAGGCTTGTGAATCTCAAATAGACTTGTGAATTTGGATCTAGCATAAATTATAAAAAGAAACCGAATACAAATTCAGTTAGCAAACAAAACAAGATGGATTAGAATTTTATGAGTTTTGAAGCATTGACATAATAATATACTTAGTTCTTTCAAAACCCTAAGGCTGATACTTAGAAAGCTATTGTTAACTGTTCAATAACCCAGATCTACAAATTAAAAATATAATAACATTAAAAATTTCTATGACAGGTTAGATTAGTTAGAGATCACAGAAAAAACCATTAAAAGTTGATCTGCTGAAGATTAGAATACAGCAAAGAGCAAGCGCAAAAGAGATTGAAATATGAGAGGGCAAAAATACAGAGAATGGAATGTGAAGAGTACCTGTATCTTGAAAATCTGGAAAAAAACAGTACAGAAAGATGATGGCTGAGAATTATTGGAAAGCTCAGCTCCTTAAATTCAAAAGAACACAGGTGCTATGGAGGATAAATAACCCACCTGAATACTTAAGAGCTAAACTCAGTGGTAAAGAGACAACGCTATTTGTCCATAATTTTCACTTCATAAATATTTTTGAACATTATAGTAGGGTCTTTAGAGAATACAGGTGTCCACACATGATCCTAGTATTAAGAACCGTGATGTGGTAAGGACAGGAGCAGGCACGTGCTCCAGTATTGAAAATGTACAAGAGATCAAGTCGGTAGTTCTCAACCCGAACCCATTTTTATACACCTTTATTTTATTACAATGAAAGCCATTAATAATACTCTACCTTCAAAAAAGCCCTAAAATATTAAATAAATACTAAAAAGGAGAGCTGCAAGAAAAGTAATTCACAACCAGCTGATAGTTATTTTAACATGGAAATATTTAGGCAAATCATTAGAAAACAGGCCTGGGAAATAGCTCAGTAGAGTAACTGCCTGCCTGGCAAGCACAAGGGCCTGAGTTTAATCCCCGGTTCCGAAAAAAAATCACTAGAAAACTGTACATCAGATACTTACATTCATTTATAGTACATAAATTTAGTTAAGAGGTCAGAAGCTATTTTCTACATAGGAAAAACAGAAGAAATAAATTGTAAGTCTGGGTGGACCTCAGATGGAAAAGAAACTGGCAAGGACAAGTCTCAGGACTTTCTTGAGACAAAGGGAGCAGTAACCATAATTGTAAGAGGGGTGATGTGTTACAACAAATTAGATCAATAAAGTAGAAAAGATGATCAAGACATTTTCACACATATGAATTTAGAGTCAAAATTAGCTGTACCTGATAAATTGCCACAGAAAGTCATCTCCATCCTAAAATTCTGTGTCAGAAGAATACATTCAGTCTTTAATGCTGTCAGATTTTAGATATCATATTCTTAGGAAAAACAGCAAGGAACACAAGATAGATAGGAAAAATGAGCAGGTTTTACTGAGTTAAAATTAAAGACTAACAGAAATCTCAAAATTGATTTTAGAATGTAAATGTTTAGAGAACTGATTTACTACTATGCTGTAGATTTCTTTCTCTTCCTAAATCTTTGAAAAAAACACAGTGGCCTACCAAAATTATGTGTTTTGATTTCCATCTATAATCTCTAGAAGGGAAGGAGGCAAGAGATTTGCCAAATATTAGCTCACACATTTACAGTGAGAGTTCAAGAGTGAGAAAAAATTACATATTAAGAAAGGTATTCCTACAGAGGTAGGATTTTCAAATGGATCTTCTATAAAGGTTAAATACTATTTCAGGCAGGCTCTGTAGCACTGAGCTATCTCCCTGCTCATTATTTCAACAGGTAAAGTTTAGAAGACTAGGAAAAAGAACACTTTAAAACATACAAAACAGGGCTAGCCAAATAGCTCAGCGGACTAACGCGCCTGCTTAGGCATAGCACAGCAGCCAGGGTTCCATCTCCAGCCTGCCATGCCAGCCCTGCCCCCTGGGGCACACTGCGACTGATTGAGACTGGGCGTGGTAGTGAGCACCTGTAATCCCAGCCCTTGGGAGGCTGAGCACAGGAGAATCACTACAAATCCAATCTACATAGAGAGACCTTGTAGACCCAGTACTAAAATACATTTTAAAAAATACAAAACAGAAAATGATTCAGGAAAAAGTCAGTTTTCCTATGAATAAATGAAGTGGCAAACATAAGGAAGTCTTGGAAGACCTTAAAAACATATTACTTATTTTGTATGGAATTGAGAGCTACCTCAGGAGACCTGAAGACAGTGGGATTTGTCCAGACTTCTGCAATATTTTAAGAAATAAAATGAAAACTTTAACTAACACTTAGGCAAGAGCAGGAAAAGGAGGAAATTTATACACTGGATGTTGGGAAATTCAGACTTGATAATTTGAAGAATGTATCAATGAAAATAAATTGAATCTCTTGTGTGAATGATGCCACTAATGCAAATATGGATACATTTTTTTATTGGTGTCCATGGATATAATTTAGGCTACTATATTAAGCTTACTGCATTAAATGTACTATAATTGTTTACTTTGTAATATTTCCTTTCAGCAGAATATTTTCTGTATTCATAAATTTTCATGTTAGCAGGTGTTTTTCCATATAATTTAGGGAAATTTAAATCCGGCATGGAAAACAAGCCTTATGAAAGAAAATATTTTAAGATTTTGCTTAATATATTCTTTGCACTTAAGTTGTTGTTCAAATACATATATTTACCTGAAATTTACAGGCATAGTAAAAGGAATACTGCAGTTATACATATTATGTTAGATTTCAAATGAGTTTGTTTTGATTTTTCAGATATATCATTGTGGTGGAACATGATTTAAGTGTCTTAGACTATCTCTCTGACTTCATCTGCTGTCTATATGGTGTACCGAGTGCTTATGGTGTTGTCACTATGCCTTTTAGTGTAAGAGAAGGTAACTTGAAAAATTGTTTTCACATATGCTGTATTCTTGTCCATGTTAGAAAGTGTATTACTAGTTTTATATTGTTCTAATATTTATGAAAAGTGGATGTTTTGAAATTTAATCACTGAGATAAATGTATATATAAAAGATTTTGTATAGCAATTGTTACAAAAAATCTTGTTGAGAGAATATTTTATTGGGAGTGCATAGAAATACAGTTTCACTATTTTTGTTATAGTAAAAGTCTTCTAGCACTTCTCTGACGTGTAAGGTCCTCAGAGCTGCAAAAAAAAGTCTTCTTGTATTTTCAGTTCTATAGCATTTGTCTTTGACAAGCCAATATTAGTAATGAAATTCTTAAACTTCGTTCAGTGCTTTATTTTCATGCTTCAGATATATCTGGACTGTATCCCAAATGTTGGAAGTAAGACTGTCTTTAGGTCTAGTTAAGTATGTTAAAACTTCCAGGGGCTGGCGAGATGGCTCAGTGGTCTAAAGC